TCCATGATCGACGAACCGTATCGGCCTGTATTACCATTGCAGAAGGCTGGGGAGACGCTATCCCAAGCGCACTTACAGCGTTGGATCGGGTTGGTAGAAAGAATGCATAGTACGTACGCTATTGCGTATTTTGTTGACTTACGTAGTCATCAGTCTTAGGAAGCTCGCCAAGCTTTGGGGAATGCATCCCATCATGTTCTCTTGTTTTCCTGTGTGGAAGTCATGCGATCACATTCAATGAGAAAAATGTTGATATTGCCTCACGGAAATATGCCAACCCTTTGATAATCCCTCAGTGACGTGTAATTGAGCAAGTGAAGAATTTGCATGATGGCGTCTGTTTGTTGTCTCTGCTGCCCAACATTCAGCTATAGCAACGCAGCCATGGCGGGCGCCATCAACGGGTAATGATTCACACTAATTTACAGCCACCTAGACACACACACATTAGCGAATGTAATAACACATTATGAGGCGCTATAGACGCTGAGATGGCGACTTCTGATTGCAGTCTACTGTCGCGGAGAATTTGATTCGAAGGATGGTCAATGCCGAGAACGCCACTTGATCAATATTTCCAAGAAACTTGCAAGAGTCATGGTCAAACTCTCAAGTGCTTGCAGGGAAGGTTTTCAATTGAAGCTCGTCATTGGGACTATTGACAAGCGGGGGGGGCAAAGTCATTAAAGTGCTTCCCAATATGGAAAGGTGACCACGCCAGGGATACCAAATTTCCAATAGCGGCAAGCATCCAGACCGCCGATGAAGGAGCAGCAATCGCAGCAGCTGACATGCTGAGATTTTCCGGATGCTATCCAGAACCGTTAGGGACAAGGGTCTTTATCTATGCTACCCTTGGCTCTACGGTTGTGAATGAAAGGGCTCGGAGGTTTCGGCTGCATGTGCTGTGAGATGGGAGGATACTGATAGAGATCATTTCATGGTAAAAGACTGTGTCGTTATTTGTTGATATGTTCAATCAGACACGGCTCATGTCATGAAATCAATACATAATTGAACAAAGACATGGCTACCTTGGCTGAGTCGCATTACATCAGCGAGCTTACGACAGCTTGTCCGACAGTGGTAAGCTAAATCATGGCGGCTATCGCTGCTAAAAGGATAGGGTAGCTGGCCTCGCCCTCCGAGAGTTGGTTTGTAGTGCAGCAGCTCCGGTATACGTAGGAGAGGCGCGGTTAAAAGTGTGTGTGCTGCCGTGACCATCTGCCAGACTAAGGCAAGGCTGACAAAACCCTTGATAAGGCCTAGAACGAATTGAATTGGGGACTTGGCCAGCGGGAAAAAGATTTGCATAGATCAAAGCTCGACTTATGACTGGTTTAGAACATCGGTTCCTTTAGAGGATGACCTCTGAAGGCCGGCGATATGAGTGATTCGAGGTCGCCAGCTGGCAAGGCTTGGTGCAAATAGAGCCTGGAAGTCAAATTGTGATGGATCGAGGTCTCATGTCGCTAATGATGCTTGGTGGGCGCGTGCCCGCTCTGGCTGCCAGGCACAGCACTCCTAGAGGTTGCTCGTCGGTCTTGCAGGTGGGGCTGGCGCATCCCCGTAGCCTGAAGGGCAAACCCACAGAAAGCTTGGAGTATAAGCCACAAAGGGCATAGCGCTGGCATGCTTAGAAGACGCTAGGACATGGCTAATTTGCGTGGCAGGAACCTGATAGGCTCCGTTCTGATTCGGGAATTGGAAGGCCGTGGCTGGCCTGCCAGTGGATGGAATGTGATGATGTAGCGAGATAGGCCAAGAAAGAATGGCATGGGTTGAGAAAGGGAAATGGATTATCAGGCCAAGGTAAGCTAATGACAGGGAAGTGGGGGACGGGGTTCATTGGGTGAAAGTGGAAAGAACCTGGAAGGGGAAAGGGAGATGGAAAGCGAAAGGAGGAAAGGACAAAGCTCACAATTGAATTCAGTTGAACCTGCGGAGAGCATGTCCAGCAACTGCTACCTGCGCTACACCTCGGTCGCCCACCCCTCTGCTTTGCACATACACCCCGGCCCTTAGTTTGGTGGGATGGGATAGAGTAGGATAGGAAGTTGGTGCCATGGTCTCGTGGGATTAGGTTGGATTGCCATCGGTAGCGTCTGAATGTATCCCCTTTTGCTCTCAATATTGTCACTAGCTCTGCGTTCCCTTCATTATAATAAGCCTCCCTCCTTCTCTCGAATCTCCCTCTTTCTTTCTTCTCTATCAACGCCTCAGTCAATTCGCTACTTCGTTGTGCCTATTCCCACTACCTAATGTAAGTCGATGCCCTCTTCATCGTTTCCTTATATGGACAACATCCACATACACCTCGACTTCCTCCCTTGGATCCAACCTGCCCTTGGAAGAAGCATTCAGTGTAAATCGGTTGGGCTACAGCAATGGCAATGAATGGAAGTCGAGAACGCAGGCGCCGGCGGCCACTGTCAACTGCTAGTGACAGCCAGAAGCGGGTGACAATGAATCAAACCGGCAGCCTTTGCACTGCCTAGGGCTTGTTTACTCAACTCCCATCATTCAGCCTCGTGCACCCAACTCGAATACTACAGCATCATTACGCATGCTATTACTCATAGTCTTGCTACTATTTACGCTTTTTCGAATCACCATCCCGGAAACGTTAACTGACTCCGCTGGTAGTATCACTCAGTCATTCTTTCAATCACAAACCAAACCTCACCAACCTTCAAAATGAAGTACACTCTCGCTACCATTGCTGCCTTCGCCTCCGTGGCCCTGGCCAAGCCTGCTTTCCTCAACACCGACTTCGAGCTCACTGAGGGCAAGCCCTACACCATCCGCTACTCTGGCTGTGACGATGGCTGCACCATTGTCCTCCAGAACGGTCCTTCCGATGACCTCTCTGACTACAAGACCCTGACCAGTATGTCTTACTAGTATTGAATATTGAATGCCTTGCTGACTCACGATAGCTTCTGCTGATGGTGACTCTTTCACCTTCACCCCCTCTGAGCTTCCCTCCGACACCTACAACTTTAAGATCACCGACAAGGCTGGCGAGGTCAACTACAGCGCTCAGTTCTCTTACAAGGGCTCATACGCCGCTCCCTCTGTCACCAAGTCCGCTACCGCCACTGAGGCCACTGCTGAGACCACCGCCATCGTTTCCACCAAGGAGGCCACCACCCTCGCCAGTGTCACCAAGTCTGCTGAGGAGACCACCACTGTTGCTAAGCCCATCATTCCTACTCATGCTCCTTCCAAGAACGCCACTACTCCCACTGCTGCCCACCCCACTCCTTCCAAGACTGGCAGTGCTGGCGGTGAGACCAGTGTCCCCAGCGTCCCTGAGAGCGGTGCTGCTCGCATGACATCCTCGCTGGCTCTTATCGCCGGTGCCGTTATGGCCATGGTTTACCTCAACTAAGTTATGGACATGATGTTTTATGCGCATGCATGGGATGAAGAAAGAGCGGTTTGATGAGATTCCAGTTTCCGGTGTATAATTCTACTTTAATGATGGCTTTTGTTTTATTCTTTTCCGGTTACCCCATGAGGCGTCGCGGCCGGCCATATCCACCGATGAACCCTGCGCTGGCTTGTCTAGGAGGAAGAGAGCCTGGTATTTAGAAATCAATTAGACTCACTGTTGGTCTGCTTTTAAACAATCGCTTGATTTACTTGTGATGTATGTCGCTTCCTTGAATCCGTAGTCTATAATGCATTCCATACCACTTCCTGTGGGACTATAAGAAAAACAAAGTAGGTTTATTGGCTGCGGATACAACTGACTTGCTCTTGCCTCCATTCAACGAGCCTATGTTCTTTGATTTAAGCTTCTGATGTACTGGCGAACCTATGTGGAGAATAAACAACGTTTGCAGTATGTCTTTCGCCCTGATTCCGAGTTCCGTCGTCCGAATTTCCCTTTTGTCTTGTGTTAGTTACTCACTCCACACCTCCTACATACATCCTTACATGCAGGTTCCCGGTCTGATCTGCCATCCCTTTCTGTGGCCCAATTGCTGTTTCAGAGTAACAATTCAACGGGACGAATGCCAAATCGATATCTGGATCGACGGGTATGCAACATTGCTAGGGGGCACCCTGCTATATCGGCGCATGATATCAGTGGACATTCTAAAGTCTGCGCCTCTATGTGATGCGTCTGCTATGGGACAGCCTGGACAGCATCAAATAATTGCCGCACTTTTATGGTTCCAATCTCACCTTCCGTTTGACACCGAGATATGCTTCGCTATCTTGATACAAGAAGGATTCCTACAGTGGGTATTATGTAAATCCTCATTACACAACTGAGCATCATGCACATTGCATAACACTCCCAAGTATTTGTCCGAAATTTGTCGCACACCGGTAATTAAATGATCTATACAGGGTCACTTAAGGATTGGGAAGCTACGAGCGCACTGGAGACAGAGTACGGAGTACTGTAGGCCTTCATTCATGCGGTGTGTCATAGGTTCTTTATGCAGCAAACATCACATGAGCCGAATTGCTCAACGATGACCGTTTCCTTGCAAGTTTTGGAGGGCTTGTGTTACATTTCACAGTTTAGCCGTGGAGATCATGGCCAAGTTTCCAGTTAAACGTAATGAATTCTCTTCGATGTAACCGATCTGATCTGACTTAGATGAGCTGATTGCATGCTCCTTGCGTCAGCGAGCATTCCTGTTGTTTGTGGCTGTGGCGGCCCTGTCTTTCTTTCATTGATTCAGTTTCGAAACATAGCTACCGCTGAACTTTTTTGCAGAACAAAGAAACAAAAACAACAAAGAATGAGTGGAGAGTCTCATAAAAGCATCGATATTGAATGCATCATCGTACATGAGTTCAGACGAAAAGGAAAATGAAAAGATACTGTAGATGAAACGCGGGACCGTTCGGCGCGTGGCAGCCCAAAGATGATAGACAAACTGCCGGCCGGAAACAGACAAGGTCCATCCATGCCCCAAGACATTCCTTGGTTTGAAACTCAGAAAATGATTTTATTTTTTCTTTCGCTAAAATTATCATTGTCGCGGAGTGATTCGCTTCTTCTTGGAGACGAAAGAACTTGTCGTAATATCAGCCCACGCTCCGATTCCGCAGAGTCCTTGATCATCTTGGACGAAGGTGTAGCTGTAGCTGAACAGGCTATCGCTACCGACGGACATTTCACAAGCACGGTCGCGCACCACGTGTGAGCCGGGACTGGCAAGCGAGCCTGAAGGCCGGGTATCCTGGAGTTCCAGGCGGAGCAGCTCGGACGCCGTGAGATCGGCAACGGAGGCGGACACGGAGGCGGGAGCGGGGCATGTAGTTTCGGAGACGGCGGATGATGTGCCAACAGTTGTCCAGCCGCTCATCGAGAAGTCGTCGGCTTTAGACGGTGATGATCTGATTGCCGTAGTGCGCTCGAGAACCATGGATGTAGACATATCTGTAGTGAGAGGAGAAGGGTGCTGATAATCATCCATGTCCATCACTTCATCATAAAAGTTGAAGATGGAGGAGCTGCGATCTTCAAGAAGTATGGACGATGAGAGGGATATAGAAGAATCCGAGTTGCTTTCATGCTTATCGTAAAGAGCCATGCTGGCAATGTTGATGAGTCCAAGAATCCAGTTGCGGGATGCCAAACGCTTAGGAGCCACTCTCAGATATACGTCAGATGTGGTGTAATGTTGCTCCAAGTCAAGCGATAAGGTAGACGTCGTGATACTCAGTAATGTAGCTATGTTAGCGTATTCGCCCAAGGCGATATGCCGGGTAGCATGAGCTTTGACGTGTATTTCGATGACTTGGTTGTCTTGCTATGAAATATTCTAGAATCAAGATACTGACCCGAGGAGGTGGGTGAGGCCAGAGCTTTTGAACTCATGAACCCCTTAGCCCAACACCACAAACCATTAACTGCATAAGCCTGTGACCCAGTCCTTTTAATTCGTCAATCGTGCTGAACGCCATGAATGATGCGTTGGCAGTGCCCCTTGCTTGGTGCACGTCTGACGCGGTCTCGATCAGACAGCCTCAAGAATCGGTACGCGGGGAATAAGTGTTGTTCGTATAGAGACACATACCATAATCTATGTATCTATGGTATCGTCATCGCTCAAAAGTGGTGCCATTGCTGCATGGCAGAGCCTCCTCTAACCTATTTCGCATTAGACATGAACTGCTGCTTACCTGTCAAAGCCAACCGCCTTATTCTCTTTTTACGCCCCGCCAGAGTGAGACCTATTTTAGGGAAAGAGGAATTTGTTGCTTTGGATATCTGAACCTATGACCATGTAGAGATTTCTTTGGAGCCCAATGTGGCTGGCACTGACACAGGTTCTAGTCCGATCATACCAATGCTTAAACAACTGGCATCTTTGAGCTCATTCAAGTCTCTCTCGTTTAACTAGCAACTGGTTCATTCACCTTATAAAGTCCGGATGTGATTCTTGTTCTCGCTGGCAAGACTGTATAAGATGATTGGCTAATAATGAGAGTGTCCTCGGAGGCTCTTGAAAACTCATTTCTGACTACAAATCACTCTCTGGCTCTCACACACAATACTCAAGGGTATCTAGTAAGAGAGGTTGTAATTTATACTTACTCCAAGGAATGGCCATTTACTCTCTGTGACTGCTTCTTGCTGATGTTTCGCTCAAGGGGCGTCGAATATTGAGCAATGGTGGTCGGCGTTGATAATCAAATGCGGGATATGACAGGAAGAAAGACGGAATTGATATAATGAGATAAAAACAAGACAGTTACTAGGCACAACAAGCTCCTCCCGTTGGTAGGAACGTAGATAATGCTACCCAGATAGGTAGATATGCTTCCATGCTAAGGCAAGTACTCCTTTGCTGTTTGTGAACGATATCAATAAGGGCTAATATTTATGCATGCTACCAATGTCCCAACGTCTTTGTATGAAGTATTCAAGTCGCACTAATTAAGATCCGTAACGGCTGAACCAAACTGGCCATTACGCTCTCTTCTCTCAGCCTCCATGGTAGCAGCCATGCTCCCCTTTCGTCGTAAGCCCGGGGCCTTAAACTTCCTCACCACCTGATATGACCTGTCGAGCTCATTCTCGACAGCACACCTAATTCTTAGGGCAGCAACGGCAGGCCACACGCTCCTCTCGCCTCTGAGGACCCAGTAGTTGAGGGTCTCTCGCGTCGGAGTTTCTAGTAATCGCACAAAGTCCCCTGCTGTCACTTCGGGCACGAGAACCATGGAAGCAGCCGGGACTTGTTCATCAACCAAGAAGCGGCGGATACCGGTTGGTAGAAGATTTAGTGTGTCCAGCTGACTGAGGCGGTGCCTTATCTCCAACCCAACCATGCGTACGAGAAAGGCAGATATTTGTGTCGTTTTGCTCCGAGATTCTACCAAGGATGGACCATGCATATCAGACTGAATAAAAGGAATGAGATATGGTCGAGCTTGGCTGACAATGAAATGATTGACGTTGAATAACTCAGCAATGCGTCGTAAAGGTGAGTCTCGATCGGAGTAGGATGTATGAGTCCAATGTCGAAAGTCAATAGTGTTAGCCGGTGCCCATGGTACAATGTTACCATGAGCGTCCTTGCAGAGCATCGTTGTCTTGCGGTGGCCGTAAAGAGAAGGCGATGAGGCATTCGATGCCACAGCAGCGGTCCAGATCAACTAAGACGAGTCAGCAAACTTCATGGACTGTCAATATTTCAAGAACATACCACGTTAGGCGCAGTCAGATAGTTGAGGAGCGTCGGTACACCTCCCTGGCCCTCCGTCGCAACAGTTATGTTTAGCACCCTCTTGCTCCGGTTATAAGCCTCCTCGAAAGTCAAATCGCCGACATTGGCCCTCACACATTCCTCCAAAACAGTCACATCGAGAAAATACCCTTCTTTGGAGAAACGTCTAACTCTCCGCAATAGAGTTTCCCACCGCGACCTGAAGGCCTGAGCCGTTGAAGTTTCCCCGTTCTCGTGACCATTCTTGGGCGCAAACGCTGAGAGATCGATACCATCGCCACTCAAGACTGCTGGTAGCTCGTCTTCCGTATGAATAGCGACCAGAGCTGCGATCAAGGCGCCTGTAGCCGTTCCGGTAATGATGCGCGGAAGTAAACCACGCAGAAAGAGAGCCTTCACAACGCCCAAATGGCACATGCCAAATATGGCACCACCTTGAAGGACGAGTGTACTCCTCCCGAAAGCCTGCCTTGTATCATGGATACAGTCCAATTTCATCTGGGTCGTCAACGATGGCCCCGTGCCATGTATAGCCGATGGAGTTGTAGGCAGGGCGCGAATATCTTCCACTGCCTCGGCAATCTGTGTTATGTACTCTTCTATAAGATACTTGGTTCCGGCGAAGGATCGATTGTAGAGTTTGGGTGAGGTGATGTTCCCGAGGTTTCGAACTAGGCCGGATCTTAATAGGTTGACAAGCTGCTGAAAGTTCCCGTCTTCCCGCGCGGTCGCGAGAGAGTCTAGACGTTCTGCAATGAGTCTCCAGTCGTAATATTTAGAAGCTGGATTGTTCCTCCTGTAACCGTATTAGCGTATCTCATCCAAGTAGACATGGCATTTTGTAAGCAGACTTGCCATAGATCAAGGCCGAGGAGGTTATCCAGGTGTAGTGCGGCTTCTTCCCAGTCCTCAAAAGCCTCTGCGGTTCTCAATAGATCCAGCCATAGTTCAACGGGGCTTTTGCGCGCGTACCAGGTCCGAAGCTTCTGTAACGACATAGTTAGGAACGACAACGTCGCGTATCACGTATAGGAGGAACAGAGAGTATACCCTCTGCCAGAAGCTGGCCACATCCACGACGACACCCCATACGGTGATTACCACCCCCATTGTGCGTTACCGAGGGCCGATCACAAGCACAAGCACCATTTGCGAAGTGTCGTGTTTTGCGAGCGTAGCGACGAGATCACACACACACAGTACCTTGGGACTATGTCATAAACGCTAGATACCGCATGCAGGACCGGTGAAGGGGCCTTCTTAAGGCGTCTAGGTTGGTCTATTAGAAATTCGAAGTATTGTTTTATAGGATATGCAGGATAGGTTGGTGTTGTTGAGTTTCATAGAGCTCCCCGCAACAGTTCAACAAAGTACCTCCTTGAGTAAGGTAAGGTCATGGCTGACGCTAAATCGGCATGTGATTGCCAATGAGATCACCAGTTTTTGAGACATGGAATCTCGGAGATTGAGCCGCACTCACATGCACATATATATGAGACTAGTTATCAGTGTCGAATGAACGATTTTTGTCGATAAAGTGTAGTTTATTTATTATGCTACGGTTTATTGTATTGGCGAAGGAGAGTCACATAAGGCAAGGTTCATTGAAGATGCAGCTTTGCTATATTGCTCCTAAAAGTCTAAAATTAGAAAAATACCATACAAAAACTACCAATTTTTGTGGTACTCTGTCGAAGACAGTTTGATATTTGTTATAATCATATTACACAGCAATAACCTCCCTTTGCTCACCATGCACGTATCACCCTATTGGCTCTGAGACTCCAAAGACGTCCGTTCTAGTCGTCATCATCATCAATGACATTTCTCCGGCGGGATCTTCCTGCCACTTGTTCGACTTCGCTGAGATCATCTTCGTCCTCACTGCGATCCCTTGTCCTCTGCCGTTTGGAACGAGGCTTCTCCTCTTCGTCGTCATCGGGAAACTCATCTTCGTCGTCATCATCGCCTCCGCTTTCCACTTCTTCGTCGTCACTATTGACGATGAAGCCATCGTCGAGGGAGTAGCCTTCATGTCGACCAACAGCATGCTCAAGTTCCTCGTCTGACTCCTCATCTCTTCGCCTTCTAGGCTTGCCTGAACCAGGCGCGCCGCGCTTGCGAGAGCCTCCGGCGCCTCGACGCCCACCTTCAAGGTCCCCAATAGACAATCCTCCTCGTGATCGGCCATACCCACCGTCCATCTTGGCAGCAGCATTCTCGCGTCGCCTCTGTGCCTTCATTCTCTCCTTCTCGGCCAATTCGGCCTGCTTTTTCTGGAGTTCGGGATCGACAGTAGTTTGGATGATCATGTCAGATGCATTCGCAGGCTTACTAGCAACAGCCATCCTCTCAGCAAGGAGAGTCAGCGCGTCGTCTCCAACAGATTTGTTGGGTCGAACATTGTATTGCTCTGTGATATGTCCAACCGTCATGAGGATGTTACTGTGTAACTCGGCGGCAGCTGCATAGTAGTGACCATCGTTGACCTCGTTGTAGGGCTTGTCTGGCGGTGGGGCGAGCGCCTTTCTCTGAATCTCATAGTGCTCTCCGCCAACGGAAATTGTCACTGATCCGTCACTCCAGTGAAAGATGTTCGTGTTACTCTTGAACTCGCCGGTACTGTGATCTTTTCGTACTCGAGCGACGTGCTTAGGATGTTCAGCTTTAGCGTTTACCAGGTCGAATTCTGTTGGCTCGAACGTCTCGGGATCGTACACTTCAGGCATTATCTTCATGAACTTGGGGATCCGTAGGATTCGAAGCTATATCGTCAAAGTCAGCGCCAAGAGGCTTCTGCAGAGCAGGCAAAAACGCATACCGCGCCATCTTTAGGCTTAGGAATTCGATGTCGATAGGTCTCGACGTTTTGGATAGCTCGTTCTTTTGTCTGGACTTGAGCCTGGTCGTCGTCGTCGTTGCGATACCGCGCGTAGCTATCGCCTTCTGGATCTGATGCAAGTTCATCATTCTCATGGACAGGCTCCTTGGTGGGCACAATATCATCGTCACCATCATCACCGAAGAGGTCGTCGCCGCCCTCGTCGATTGAGTCAATTGGGTCTTCTATGTCTGACATGTTGTAGGTTCTTTGTGATGAGGAGAGGGAGTTAGATCAATGGAAGAAAAGAGTGAAAGAAGCGGTTAATGTTTGCGCGCAAAGTGAGCTTGCAGTCGCGCCTTGACTTTCAGTGACCGTGGATCCGTTTAGCTGATTGTGGTTCTAGGCCTGAGGTTGGGAGGTACACCAGCCACAGCAATGTCCTTTTTGTCAGAAATCGCAGCCACAATCTGTGCCACCGGACTATTCCAAGTCAGTGGAGACGAAAACGAAAGGAACAAGCACGCTGCAGCCTCAGGAGGTTTGAGAAGAAAAAGGTGGCGGAGAAGTGGCAGGCTGTCAAGATGCTACCTTTCGAATCCTCTGAAACAGGCATGGCGCGCTTCAGGTGACAAACAGAGCAGGGAGGTTTCTGGAGACGGGATGTGATGCGATGCGCTAGCGTGAGGCCCCGTTGTGGCGCCCATCCGCTACAGTTACGGGGTACTTAGCCGCTATTCATCAAGCCCAAGCCCCGACACCGACACCTCAAAAACCCCCTTTCTCAAACCGACTCCAGCTGCTGATATCGGATTTGATCTGATATTGATCCTGACAACAACACGCAGTTTCAGTCAGGCGAAAGACAATACCAACGACCGCATAATCACCGAGCATACACAAATACCGACTCGAGCGCGTTCTCCTTCTATCTGGGAAACCCTCGTGGAATCCTTTTCAGGCGCCTTTACTCACGATTTCACCCCGCCTTTCTGTCAACCATGTCGAACCTCTTTTCTGGCATGTGAGTATCTTTTTTTGACTCTTCAGTATCATCTCAATTTGTCTTTGCCCGTCATTGGATCTTCATTGCCAGCTCTGCTACCGTGTGGTTTGTCTCTCCGTTCCGCGATTGTTGCTGTCATGTCTTCATGACGAATGCTAGATGAGCCGCCTCTTGTAGAGGTAAAATATCTATATCCACCAGCCACGACCCTCTACCTATGCGAGTGCAACATTGCAAATTCTTCATTTCGGATACACTCAAACCTGGAGCCAATACCCTTGCGTACTCCTTGTCGCAGTGCAGGACAACTACCGAAAGACTGAGGGTCGACTGTACACAATCAGACTCTCACCATGTGGTCCCCAAGTACACTAGTACTACGTTGAAGACATGTCCCAAAGATTCATGAGCTGGAAGAATTCATTTTTGAGCCTCTGAAGACGTTGCCCTAGAATTCCTTGGAAAAACTGGTCACTCTTAAGGCCCTTGTCACGATACGCAGTCTTTGCTAGTGTCTATTGGACATCATGAATAGTTCCTCACTCATATATCATCCCTACCTTTCCTATCATCATTCCTCTCCCTTGCAAGGGCGCCACGCATGGCGCTTTTCTGCGGCTGCCATGGGCGGACCTGCCAGTGTTTCAACCGACTGTGCCATTTCAAGCATAGTGTGCTGTCACATCTATGCTCTCCTATACTGACTTTACGTGACTTTTCTGTTCCTTCTTTACCTTGGTCTTATTTCGATAGCATCCATTTCATTACGCTTGCTAACATAACATCACCAGTAACGCTCGATTCCGAGGTGGCTCAGCTAAGCCTTCTTCTGGCCCTCAAAAGAGCCCAACTGGTTCTACTGCCAGTCAGCCTCCCCCACCAGAGCTGCCTACTCAAGGGAGTCAATCTTCCTCAGCTAGCTTAGCCCCGAAGGTCCCCCCTCTGCCTAACTCTCCTTCACTCGCCCAGACCATTGGCATGGATGACTCTAGCGGCGTCATGAGCGGCGACGAACTAATTTCTTCCTATCATCTTCCTCGACCTCTTCCTCTGTGGCTCAATGCCCAATATGCTAAGCACATAGTAAAGGGTAATTTTATGACACTGAGCGCCCGACCCAAGACGGTCGAGCAAGGCGAGTGGATCGCACATCAAGGTATGAATGAAACTTTGATATCAAAATGAGTCCTTGCGGGTGCTAACGCCTTTCAGTTGTTGAGCATTACCGCAACCTGTGGAACTTTGTTCGAGTTCTCCACGAGAAGGAGGATGATGGTACATCCATCTGCAACTCTACCAGCTGCCCACGCATGTCGGCTGGAGCGTGAGTTATAAGCACTCTTATCGGACCATTCATTCACTTACACTCGCTAGCAACCACTCCTTTACTTGGCTCAACCGCAACAGGGAGCCTGTTGAGCTTCCCGCCTATGAGTACATGACTCTTATGCAGCGATGGATTTCTGGCAAGATTGACGACACCAACATCTTCCCGACTGACCCCTCTGGTGTCTCGTACGCCCACAACCCCTCCATCACCACCACACCTTTGTCCCAGCTCTCGAACCCCGGCGAGCCCGAGTACATCGGAAAGCGATCAGGTTTCCCTGACAAGTTCGTCGATATCTGCCAGATGATTTTCCGACAAATGTTCCGAGTCTACGCTCATCTCTACTGGGCTCATTTCACCGAGCCATTCTACCATCTCAACCTGGAGAAGCAGCTCAACAGTTGTTTCTCACACTTCGTCCTGACGGCTACGGCTCTGGATATGCTCAAGCCCGCCGAGCTGGAACCCATGCAGCCTCTAATCGATCTTTGGGCTGCCAACGGAACTTTTCCTCCCGAGTCCAAGGCATATGAGTATGCCAACATCCGAGCCGGCGAGCGTCTCCTGCAGCTTTCCAATGTCCCCCAATAAGCATGGACGAGTACCGGTGTAGCGTAACACGAAAGGCGGAGAAGATGGGGTATCGATCCTGTGGATCGACTCCCATGTACACAATCTGGAAGGCATGTATCCAGCCTGAAGTCGGAGGGTTGATAAACCAGGCAGGTTGAATGGGGTCGCATGATAAAGCATATTCCTGCAGTAGTAAAAGAGCTGCAGACTGGAGTTCCGGGGCCACGACTAAAGTGCTTCGCGGGGGAGTCGACTGTGCAGGGGACACATGGCTGATGGTAGACTTACGAACTGGAGACTTTGCGGTATCGTATCAATGCGAGGCTTGTTTCTAGTTCCCCAAACACGAATAGATTTCGAAAATTGAAATAACATAGCGTAGAAAATCACAAACATGACCCAGTCTGTCAAATGATAGATCCCTGCTCTCAGATTACACGATTCACACCCGGGCTAATCGATATCTCGTCCGTCATGCCTTTCAGTCATTCTTCGAACCCTTGTTGCATTGCGCACTTACCTCGCTGATTTTGTATTCCACAATGACTGGTCGATCTTCCTCAATAACGAATCTGCCCGAGCCAACATACAACTTGTCCTGCAGGAGTTTCAACCCTGGAGCGTCAGTCTCGAACCTAATCTGCACAACTAAAGTCGTCAGCATCGAATCCAGAATTGTCCCACACCAGCTCAAAACACAGCATGGCGGTTTAGCGTGAGGCCGACACCCATGACATAGGATCAGCTAACTCACATGCGTTTCCAAAGCCAGTCGTCGTAGCATTCGTATCTCCTCGAATCACTCTCCCCTCATCTCCCGCCACGTTCACTACACCATTGTAGCTAAAACGCAGCAGAGAGCCAGAAGTATCACGTGCAACACTTGTTACTTCAAGCTTGACCCATTGACCATCGGGATCGCGCCGAATGAAGTCGCTGCCGTGGATGAACGTCGCCTCTAGAGGAGGCTCATATCCCGGCTCAGAGACGAGAGTGCCCGCCTTGGGTAGGAAGGGGATGTTCAGGAGGTTAGAGGTGATGACAAGAGGATCATTGATGGCGATCTATGATCCAAAGAATTAGTGATGTGTAAATCCATTCCGAATGGGGGCAATGGAATGGCTCAGAAACACGGTACTCGTAGGGTTCGAAGGTACAGGCTTTAGGTTAGAGACAAAGCCCCAATGATGTGTATAAAAGGTGAAGAAAACTACAGTCCGACATACTTGAGCTGTGAAAGCAGGGATAAGTGTAGGGAAGTTGGTCAACTTCATGTCGAAAGTTGTTCGACTGGATGTCGAGTCTCATTCTTGTTCTAAGAAACAAGTCAAGCAGCTGCTCATGCGCTTTTCTATCTCACTGCTCGGCTTCCGACCCAGTCTTCGGAACTAGAATGGGCGCAAATGCATACGGCATTGAGTCGCAATCAAATCCATCCCTATCTCGTATTATATCTGCATTCTCCGAGACCACAACAGAGGAGTTGCACGCAACGGCGATACACTGGGCGAATTGTGTGCGAGCATCGACGTTTGAATCATGACACACATTGTGATATTGTTGCCCTTGTGATAGGAACATCTACCGAAGCAGATTTGCTAATCAATTACGAGATCTATTGCTGCGTGACTAGTGTACAGAGCTGATATGGGTGCCCACAAGGGGCGACGATTTCGAGTAACACAGGCCATCCCAGACTGCGGAGGTATTGGGGGACCAAGCCACAGAGGTCTGATAATAGGGGCACATATGTGTACTGGGAGCCATTTTCTTGACGGGCAGCGATGCAGAAACCCGTTCTCAATAGTGTTAAGATCAGGACATATCACCAATGATGAAGCACAAGACCCCGTGGTCTCAAGAGCGATATTGCGGGAACGAAACTCATACCATGACGCTGAGAGCCGCCAGACAACTTGGCGGAAGACATTTTGAAAAGCCAACCACGAGAGTGATGTGTGTCCAAGACACCAGTTGCTAGTGTAACGACGTTCACAACACAATGGCACCGCGAGCCCATCTGTTAGGTACGGCCAGGCTTCATTCACAATGCATTCACTAGACCCCAACAGACGGGTTCAGCTAAAGAATGGAATGTGCATATGATTCCGGTTCATGATGACGGCGTGGTGCTGCGTTTGTGCAATGGATATCTATACCAGAAGTTCTCGAATGACCGTCAGCCCGGACGCACCTCCACCAACTCTTATTAGCCGTATCTACCACAAGCTTCGTTATTAAAAAGAAGATCAAGATATATTACCCACCAGTTACTTTAAGGGATGAGCATTGCAAAGGCTGTCAGTGCATTCGAGTTCCTGGTGGCGGAGTCGGTTTATCCATTCTAGAACCGATGTCCCATTTGCCCGGATACTTCGGTGTTGTCCATTGATGTTCGGAACCGCACATTTCAGACTGTATGGATGGTCATAAAGCAAGATCCTATCGTGCGAGAGAGCTGTTGGGTATTGGGACTGTCATCCGTTTCAACCCGTCATGGCCCGGGTACCCCCTGCTTCCTTCTGTCAAAACCTTGTCGGCCCAGCCTATTGTTTAAGCCACTTGTTTCAGAAACACATCCGCTCGTGAGATCGAGTGGCTGACAAGTCCTTCCTCAGCTGTGAGGACCATGTCCCAGATGTGGCAAAGGGCACATGGTTTCTCTCTACCATGTTCACCGCTGAACCTGCCCTAAATAGGAAGAAGAAACGATTGTCCCATTGCGGATCATTGTCGTCGTCGTATCTGGAGTCAAGGTCAAGTACAATTACACTCAGATCCTGGTATTTTCTGTCGTATTCATGCCCTTGACGATGTTCCAGGTACGGCATCTTCGTTAGTTGACCAGACACGACGTGATGTTCGTGATGCTGACGAAGAAGGCGCAGCTATCAGTATTCTTGACGATACTTAAATAACTCCTAGAAGCCGTGATGATCTACTGGCTGATCCCAGTGTCAGACGTTAAAAATAGTCAACAATCGCTATACAAGATGTGTGACTTTATCTGAAACAGCAAGCGGATGATATCATGGATCGCGGTTTTGCGAACTTGGCTTGCATGCTTGACTGACTGATGCATACTGCCGTGTTTGAGAAGCAAGGTTTCAGAGATAGCTTAGAGATCCGTTACTATCAATGCCTTCACTTGAAAGCATTCGGTATGTTGATATGCAAATGATAACCCAGCTTCGCAAAATACACTTGATTGGGGTCCAAATTGCACTTGCAAAACAAGACTAGTCCATATAAAGACAACTCGGTCTGTTTCGTCCCCCAGAAGGCAACGTTAGATTTCCTTGTTCCAAGATGTTGTGAGCGTCATCGCAGCTTGTCGGCTGCGACATAGCTGTCCCACGTTAACATTTCTGGGTTACCAAGTCGTATTATCGGCGAATCTTTGTCCTGGCATGCTGCATGTGCCAACTCTTAATCCCTTGCGTGAGATTGTGACATTGATGTCCGTCAGTGTTTCAGATATCAAAAAAGACGCGGGGATTTCGACACTTGGTTCCTCTGTCTCCGGGATTCCCAGCCTCAGCCTCACGAAATGGCCTGATACTTGTCGAGGCTGACTCTGTCAAGAGTCCGGAATCCTCGCTTGGAAACAGCAATATCCAGAGCAGTGGATCGTTATGCTGAAAATCTCTTCGCATACGATGAACGTGGACCCAAACTCGGACAGGGATACCCAGACCGCATGTTCGGGAGGCACCCTACGCCACTTGATGATGGAAAGAGAGGTGACCAGTTAGTGGTCAACCTCTTCTGTCGCGTGCTGGTGAAATACCGGTGGTCAATCCAGATATTATTCTTTGAGTGTGCATAATGACCCCAGGCCGTGGTAAAAATATCAGCGCAACCTGGCCACCCAAGTGTAGAATGAGCCCTGGACTACGCCGGATCAAAGAGTCTAGCATTGGTAAGACCTGCGCTTCTGTTCCATCCTAGGTACAGTGTCATATAGAGGCTGCGTCATGAATGATATCCAATATGAACCAGGATATCTCTCGTTTGTCTTTGACATGCCGGATATAGAATGAATATGACCAACACTGGAATCAATGTTGTGTTAGATCAGGGGAACCGAAAAGCATGTGCTTCTGAAACCGAGATGACTGAATCAGAGAGGTTCTGCGTTGTCGTGGGGGCCAGAGCCAGTGTCCGAAAATCGCAGCCTTTCTTCGAGTCATAATGGCGGTATCTCTATGCTCACCAATGGATATGTTGAGGCAGTTGGGTAACGATTTTGGGCGGCCTTCATATCGGATTCACATCGGCATTGGTGAGTAACACCCCTGATGCGGTGATGAGGAGGCCATTCAGAGTCGCAGCAGGCCCTGTCTATTGAACCCGTTTGTCTCGAAAGGTGATGAGGCTCTCAATATGGCCGAGGCGTACGTCTCGGTAACCATGCATAGGGTTCAAAGTTCTGAGTTGACGAGGATACGCTGCATAGCCCACTTGGGTTATTTGATGACCAGAACTGGCTAAACTGCATGCACAAAGCGTAAGCCTGATTGCTTGGACAAGCAATTTAGGAATGGAGCAGGCCGAGTAGGTTAGCCTTCTGGGCGAATGAAGCACCAAAACCGCTCGCCCTATTTAAATGATTGGACGTCGTGACAGATTGGGCAGTTTTGAATAGCGCTGGCTGTTTACCCAACTTGACCCTCCCGGAACAAGATCCGGAAATCCATGGTAGCGACGAAAAATATTCGCACACTTGATCACGAAGCGATAAGAATGTACTTGGACAAGAAGATGGAACGCGAAATGACATATACAGTTTTTTCTATCAGCAGGAGACGAAAACCCTTTATTCACTCACAATGCATTCATCGAGATTCGGGAAGCATTCCAGATGGAAAGTCTTCAAGTCATTTTAGGGTCCTATGTGTGATGTGATGTTTTCCGTTACGCGAGAAGGGTCCTCGGATTTGAAGCATGGACCCAGATGCACCCCAAGCACGAAATGTTTGGACCATAGATCAGTCAAAGCCATGACGCTAGACCATTTGGTATCTGTCAAAGAGCAAGTCAGTCAGCAGGGGATGAGAGAGCAAGGTGCCTAACATTTTTCTGGTCGGCTAGGGAGAGGACGCGCACGCGTAACACACCGACAAAACAAAGTGCTCAAAAGAGAAGCACCACGAGCGGCCCATTATGCGACCGCGAAGCACAGTGGATCCATGATATCAGGCCTATGAGCCTAGTGGTTAGAATTAGGCGTGTCGAGGGCGTGCAGTAGGAGCGTGTGGGAGCTGAAGTCGCAGTCGTCTTCCCCAGCCACCCACAGTGACGGAAGCATCGAAGTCTCAGTGCATGATCAAGAGAAGCATCTCTTGGCTGATGAGCTATTGGAGATTCCGCAGGTGAATCGGACGATAACAGACTTGAGACGTGATATCGATGG